GTTCTGCATCAGCTCCGCCTGTGTTAACACTTGTCTCTCCCCTTCTGGCCTACCCACCATCTCCATTTACCAAAATTACGCCTATTTCTCAAGACTCAGCTCAAGTGTTTCCTACAAAGCCCATGCACCTCCTGCCACTGGGAAAAGGTCATTTCCTCCTTTGTCCACCCAGAGCATGTGCCAGGTCTCCACACCCTGCCTATCACGGTGTGAATCACTGTCTTCATCAGAGCTGTAGCCCCTTCCTCTCCCTAAAGGTGTTATTTCATGTGCTCTTGTGCACAAGCCCAAACAAAGCAGGGCAAGTTTGGATCCCATTTCCACAAACATGGAAACATTTCCCGAGCACCCAGTACCCCAGGACTTCTGCTGGAGACTGCTTTAGAAGCAGTAACACAATCATCCCCAGCGCCCTTATTGTCCTAGTTTTACAAATAAGAGAGTGGAGAGCTAATCAGCAAATGGACTGCCTTTTAAAGGAACACACCAGGCTCTCTGCAGATGCCAGCCCTTTTGTCCAAACCACTGTTTGTCCCACTCTTCACATGTCCAATTGAATGCAAATGTCCCTATTTTAGGAAAGCGTCCACTGACTGCCTCGTTTGTCCAGATCTCAAGAGGCCTTTCATGCCAATTTCCTTTCTAGAACACCTTTGCTTTCTTTATACCCCAATCATCAAATCAAACCCATTGCTGTCAACTTTGACTCCGAGCATCCTGATGGGGTAGAAGTGCTGCTCACCGTGTCCATGGCTGCGATTCCCCCAAGGAGGAGCTGGTGAGGCCTGCTCCCAAGATGTTGTTGTTTATCATAAGTTGTAATTATTAACTTTGCTCTATTAATAGATTTGCTTTGTCTCCCACTAGACTATATACAACCTCTTGTTATTAGATGGCATCGAGTATGACTGTAGTTACCCTGTGAACAAAGATTGAGCCTGGTCCTAGCCTGCGCCAGCCTGCAGTCTCTGACATACATAAGCCCCTTAGTGCAGTCACTGTGTCAGTCCATCTCGTTGAGGGTCGTCCTCTCCTTCACTGCCCGTCCACCTTTCTAAGTATGATGTCCTTCTCCAAGGAATAGCCTCTCCTGGCACCGTGCATATGTGACATGACGCTTTCACCATCCTTTTCTCCAAGGACTGTCAACAACTTCATCTTAACTTGGATCCATAATGAGTACACTTGGTACCAGCGATCAGGAGATCAGGGGACGTATTGCACTGGGAAAGTCTGCAGTCAGGGACTTCTCCAAATTACCGAAGAGCAGTGATGTCAGTTTGAGGGCTGAGGTGCCCCTGATTCAGACTATGGTCTTTTCAGTCGCTTGCTATACACCTGAGAGCTGGACAGTGAATGAGGATGACAGAAGAATCGATGCCTTTGAACTGCGGTGTTGGAGAATACACACCATGAGGACAGAGTTAACAATCTTTGTGTTAACATCTAGAGACAGAGAAGAGGACTTGTTATGCAGTGTCTTTTAATTAAGTATCGGCCATTCCCACAGCTTAACAAATCCTCCAGAGCGGAGGCTGGAACAGGAATCATCAGAGTTTCCCAGAACTCTGCCTTGTCTCCTTCGTGCCCATGGCCACCAGCCTTCTTCACAGTGTCATCTGATCGTCAAGACACAGAACAACAAGATGAGTTGATACAGTGGTTTCAACAAGGGGCTCAAACATCGCAGCAGTTATGAGGAAGGCCTAGAACGGAACAAGGCTGAGTTCTCTTGTCCGTGTGGCCACTGAGTTAGAACCAACTCGATGGCATCTAACAGCAGTCTTGTCAGCAGAGTCCTGGGGGTCGTAGGGTTAAGCATTCAGCTGTTAGCCAGAGGGTCAGCAGTTTGAACCCATCAGCAGCTCCACTGGAGAGAGAGGAAGCAGGCTACTTCCCCAAAGATTCAGCCTCAGAAACCCTATGAGGCAGTTCTTCTCTGTCTCTCTGAGCAGAGTTGATTTGACAGCAGTGGGTTTAAGGTACTAGCATGTGTGGGGATGTAGTACGTGGGTGGATGCATGCTCAGGTGGGTGGACAGAAGGAATGAGAGACAGCAGCAGAGTGCTGGGATACTGCAGGATTGCAGCGAGGAGATGATGGCTCGATAGACCGGAGAGCAGGTCTCGCAGCTTGCTGCTGTGTTCCAACTCACAGAGTACCATTTGTACCCAACTGCTATGCTCCATGCAACTTTCAGTGGTGGATTTTTCAGAACCAGTCAGCAGGCCTTCTGAGACAACTTCTAGGTGGTCCCCACGCTCCATGCCTTCTCTTAACAGCTAAACAAACTGCTTGCATCACCTGTCATTGTTAGATGCCATTGAGTGTAGTAGGACTCCTTGTTTATAGCAACCCTATGAACGACAGATCTGAACCCTTCCTGCCCTGCCCTGTCCCATTTGAGCTCATTGGGTGTCTTACTCTCCTTTGCTGACCTTCCATCTTTCCAAGCCCGAAGTCCTTTAACAAGGAATAACCTCACCTTAGATACATGTCCAAAGTATGAAAGACTAAGCTGCGTCCTTACCTCCAAGGAACACTCTGGCTGCACTTTTTTCCAAGATATGTCTGTTTATTGTTTTGGCCATCCATGGGATGATATTCAGTACTCTAACACCACTCCTCAAACGCGTCAATAATTCTTCTGTCATCTTTATTCATTGCCCAACTCTCTGAGAAGACGTTGAATCAGGTGCATCTTAATCTTCAGACTGACCTCTTTGCTCTTCAGTATTTTCGAGTGGCCCGCTGCAGTATGTTTCCTGATTTCCAGACTCCTGGTACCAAGGATGTTGATGAGGTGCTGTGACGGCAGTGCCAACTCACAGTAACATGCACAATAGAACAGAGTGCTGCCTGGTTCTCCCACGCCCCCCTCCCCGCGCCTCCCGCACCCCCTCCCCGCAGCACACCATCCTCCCCACAGCTTCTGTGCTGGAGCCACTGTTGCCGTCACAGTGGTCTCAGTTCATGTCATTGAGGGTCTGCCTCCTCTTCATTTTATCCCCTATCCCTCTGCTTTACCAACCATCATGTCCTGCTCCAGGGACTGGCCCTTCCTGGTAAAACTTACTCGAGTCAGTTCTAAGTTAACACCAACCCTCCAAGTTTCTGAGCTGTGAATCGTAATGGGAGGAGCCCATCTTGGCCCCTCAGAGCCACTGGTGGATTTGAACCGCCGGACACAGCACAGCTTACTGCAGACTAAGCCACCAGAGCTCCAAAGTACCTGACACAAAGTCTTGCCTCCAGGTAACAGTTTGGCTGCACTTGACCTAAGACAAATTTGTTTGTTCCTCCGAAAACTGCCGGTGTATGTTCAGTATTCTTTGCCAACACCGTAATTCAAAAGCATCAGGTTTTCGGACTTCTGGTTCATCAGTGGACCCTGAAATGAAATTGGCAATTGTACATTGGTCGTGATCTAGAAGTTTCACTTAACCCCTTTGGACAATGTAAGCTAGTCCCCTGTGCTGAAGCTCTCGGAGTAAAGCCTCCCCTCTGGTGGGTCCTGACACACTGTCCTCTGCGTTTTCCTATCACATTGTGCTGGAAGATTTACAGTCGTTCCTGTTACACATGGAAGCAACTTTTCTTTCTTCTCACCAGAGTTGGCAGCCTGTTACCATAGCAATGTGGGAAGTATCTGGAGGTATTTTTATACAGTGAGTTCTCAAACTCCCTGTAAAGTTTGCATCTTGCTTAGTAGAAATGGACTTTAATATTTAAAATTTTTTCTCTCGTACCTTTATAGCCACTGCTAAACTTGCAAACTTAGCTAGAATTTGATTCCTGAAATTTGAACATCTTTTTCTCCTCCAAAAGAACATTATCTTGAGAGTGTAAATATAGTTACCAAATATTTTAAAGAACTCTGAGAAACTTGATTGTTATTATTGTGATTGTTAGGTCCTATCGAGACGAGTACGACTCATAGTGACCCTGTGAACAAAAGATCTGAACCCTGTTTAATCCTGCACCATCCTCACACTTCCTGACACACAAGAGCCCATTGCAGCAGTCACCTTCTCAGTCCATCTGGTTGAGAGTCTTCCTCTCCTTCGCTGACCCTCCACCCTTCCCAGCATCATGTCCTTCTCCAAGGAAAAGCCTCATCATTCTTGCCTCCAAAGAGCAGTCCTGCTGCACCCTCTCCAAGATATTTATTTGTTCTCTTGGCCATCTATGGGATGTTCGTTCAGTGCTCTTCTCCAACATCACCGTTCAAAGGCATCAATTCTTCCTCTTTTTTTTTTTTAAATTTTATTATTTTTGTGTGTGTGTGTACCGTCAAATCAGATCTGACTGGTACAGGAGGAGATTGTTCCTCCTTCTCCAGCAAAGCATCTGGTGGATTTGAACTGCGCACCTCTGGGATTGCAGTGCAGCTTCTTGCCACTAGGCCACCAGAGCTCACTACATCAATTCTTCTTCTGTCATTCTTATTCATTGTACAGAGGTCAGATGTGTAGCAAGTAATCAGAAAGACTGTGGCCTGACTCAGACACACCTTAGTCCTCAAACTGACATCATTACTCCTCAATAATTTCAAAAGGACTCTTAACTGCGGGTTTCTTCAGGGCAGTGTGTCTCCTTGTTTCCTGACTACTGATAGCAAGGGTGTTACTTGTGGATCCAAGCAAGATGAAGCCATTGACAGTTTCAGTCTCCTCTCCAGCCATCATGACAACAGTTGTTTCTGATTGTTACTATGAGGGTTAAAAAGATGTGCATGCTCCCTAGGACCTTTTGGTTGGTATTGTGAAGGGTATCTCTCAGTGGGCGACCACTCACAGTACCCTGTGAACAGGAGACTGGAGCTCCCCTGATCCTGAGCCACCCCCAGTCTCCACCCTGTTCCAGCCCATTATTACAGTTACTGCATTGGTCCATCTCATGGTGGCTCTGATGGTTATTTTGTATTTTGGGTGCTCCAGTTGTTTTGACTTCTGGCTTATGGAAAATTGGTATAACTGTGTTTCTCTCTGTCTCTTCAGGGCTTGGAGAGCTTCGAAGTGAAGATGAAGTTCTTCTCAGGCAGGCAGGAGACAACGCCGTCATTCCCTGTGCCGTATGACTTGCCTCCAGATCTTTATGGAAGTAAAGGTGAGACCCAGGGCCGCGGGTGTGCGTCTCAAGGGAACTGTCCCCGCTGGGCTCAAGGACACTGGGGACCCAGGTTTGCAGAGACTGCTCTAAACGGATTGGTCTCGGGACCCCTTCACCCTCTGAACATTCCTGAGGACCCTAAAATAGCTTTCATTCACGTGGGTTTTCTGTCTGTTGATATTTACTATCTTAGAAATGAAAACCAAGAAATGTGTGAGTTGTTTCAAAATTCAGTTGTTTTAAAAATAACAGTGGTGGTGGCCTAGTGGCAAGGAGCTGCAACTACAATCCCAGAGGCGCATGGTTCGAATCCACTAGATGCTCTGCCGGGGAAGGAGGGACAATCTCCTCCTGTACCAGTCAGATCTGATTTGACAGTACACGCACACACACACACACAAAAAAAATAAAAAAATAACAATGGTGCCCCCATCGTAGGAGAACATAAACAGCATATGTTTCTGGTTTTTCAGTGAGGGAGCTGTGTGGCAGGTGGCTCTGTTTCACGTTTCTGCAGATTTCTGTCCTGGCCGGCCGGAAGGTCAGAGAAAGAGAAGACCTTCGATGAGGTGGACTGGCCACAGTGACTGTAACGGCAGGCTCGAGAATGTTGAAGGACAGGGCAAGATTCAGTCTGTTTTTCAGAGGATCATTATGAATTGTATTCGACTGGCTGGCAATTAACAGCATTCATTGCGGGGAGCTGTATTTTGATTGGCTGCCTTTACTCTGTGGAGCGGCTGGTGGAGTAGAACTGTGTTCCTTTGGGTTGCCAGCACAACTCCTTACCACTAAGCCACAAGAGCTCCCTTGGGAGCTGTATTTTTAAAGCGTAGGTGAAAGTGTCTGTAAAGCAAAGTACCTGTTGTTTTCATCCAACAAAATACTTCTTTCTGTTTGCCATGCTGGCTGGGTAAAGCAGATCTGTGTGCCGTTTCACCAGGCTCCACACTTAGGGCATCACACTGGGCTCTGGTTTAGCTTATGGCTCAGATACACAGAAAAGAAGCGAACTGAGAAATAGTAACTACTGAGCTGTTGAGAGGTGACAGTAAAGCCAGATTAGGCTTCAGTCGAATTAGGACTTGGGCGCCAGCGGTCTTTGGAGTCTAGGAGGTAATTGAGCATGTTGTTAGGAAGCGTAAATCAGATCTGATCCCTGGAAATCCTGCGGACAGCCAAACCAAACCGCTGGGGTCCGTACGTCCCCACGGTCATTGCTGTGCTTGGGCACATTGTTGTGACCGCAGTGTCATTCCACCTCATGGAGGATCTACCTCATGTGCACTGACCTGCTTTACGTCCTTCTCCAGGGACTGGGATGGCCTTCTCCTGTGACATGTCTAGAGGATGTGAGATCGAGGCTCATCATCCTTACAGCTAAGCAGTATTCTAGCTGTCCTCCTTCCGAGACAGATGGTCCTCCCTCTGGCCCTCGGTGGTACATCCCGTATTCTCCGACACTCTCATTCATAGGTGTCAAGTCTTCAGTCTCCATTGTCCAGCTCTAACTTGCATTTGAGGTGATTGAAAAAGACAGTGGCATGAGTTTGACGCACCATAGTCTTCCAAGTGGCATCCTCGCCTTTTAATTCTTTAAAGAGGTCTTTTGCCTTAGATTTGCACTATTGTTTCATTTCTTGATTGCTCCTTTTATGAGCATCATCTTGGGCTGAGTTCTCTAGTGAAGCAAAACCAAGGAAATGTTTGTGTGTGCCTGTATTTATGTGTGCATAGATAGATAGATGCATGTTGTTGTTGTTGCTGTTGGGATTTTTTGTTTTGTTTTGGGGTTTTTTGCATTTTGTTGTAATGTGCCATCAAGTTGACAACAACTCACAATAACCCTGTGAACACCAGCTATGAACCTGTCCTGTCCTTCTCAGGAACCTGCCCCTCTTGATAGCTAACATGCCCAAGTTATGTGAGACAGTGTCACCATCCTCTAAGGAGCATTCTGATAGTTCTTACTTTATGGGATATTCAATAGTCTTCTCCAACATCACAGTTCAAAGGCATAGATTCTCTTCTGTCATCTTTATTCATTGTCCAACTTACAAATGCATTGGAAGCAACTGAAAAAAAAGCCATGGCTTGGATCAGGTGCACCTTAGCCTTTAAACTGACAGCCTTGCTCTTTAGTACTTTGTAGAAGCCCTTGTTAGCAGATTTTCCCAAGGCAGCACACCCTTTGATTTCTTAATTGCTGCTTCCAGGTGAACTCAGCCAACTCAGCTCAGTGCCAGTGAGTCAAAAGTGACTCACAGCTGACCACCCTCCACTAGGTTTTCAGAGGCTTATATCACATGGGAGGAGATTGTCCCTCTTTCTCTCACAGAGCAGCTGGTGGATTCAAACTATCTGCCTTTGGGTTAGAACCACAGCTCTTTACTCACTAGGCTACTGGAGCTCCCTTCTTGTTGTTGTTGTTATTTACCATCAAATTGAAGCCAACCCATAGCTGACCCTCGAGCAGGTTTCCAGAGGAAGTCAGTCGCCTGGGAAGAGATTGCCCAGCTTTCTCCCACAGAGCAGCTGGTGGATTCAAACCGTGTTCCTTTGCACTGGCAGCACAGTGTCTTATCACTTAACCACCGGAGCTCCCTCCAGAGCTCACATTGTTGCTGTTGATGTTGTAGTAATAAGCCTTCAAGTTGAATACAGTTCATAGCGACCTTGTGAATAGCTCTGAATCGAGCCCTATCCTCGGCCAATGTCACCGTCTCTAACATACCTACTCCCAGTTACTGTGTCAGACCATCTCAACCACTGTCGTCATCTTCTTCACTGACACTCCACTCTTCCCTCTCTAAGAATTATTCCCTCCTGGCAACATGCCTAAAGTATGTGAGGCAGAGTTTTAAATCCTTGTATCCAAGGAGCCCCCTCTCCAAGACAAACCTAGTTGTTCTCTTGGGAGTCCGTGGTATACTCTTCTCCAGCACCACAGCTCGAAGGTATTGGATCTTCTTCCGACATCATTAGTCCATTGTCCAGTTCACTGAAGCATAGCAAGTAATTGCAAAGATTAGATGCACCTTCCTCTGTAGAGTAATATTGTTGCTTTTTAGCATTCTGAAGAAGTCCCTGACAGTAGACTTTTCCAGTGCAATTTGGTTTTTTTTTTTATTTTCTGACTACTGGTGTCAAGAGTGTTGACTGTGGACTCGAGAAAGAGAAATTGTTACTGACCTCGGTCTCTGTCATGATGCTGCCAATTGGCCCTCTGGTGAGAATCTTTGTTTTCTTGATGTTGAGCTGCAGGCTATTATTGAAGGCTGCAGCCCTTAACCTTCTGCAGCAAATGCTTCAGGCCCTCCTCAGTTTCGGCAAGCCGTTATTGCTAAATTAATGAGTTCAAAGTCATAAATCATTTTGTAAACAACAACAAGAAAAATAGAATATTGATTCCATTTTATTACCCACATAAAATTTAGAAAGAGTAGGTCACTTAAACTTGCTGATAAATATGTTTCAGTTTACTTTTTAAAAGGCCTAGTTTTGAAAGATCTCTGGAAATGAAGTTTTATAACTGATGCAATAAAAAGAAAATTTTAGGCACAGCTTTGTTCATCTTTAATAAAACTTCTTTTTGTTTCATTGCTCGAATTGAAGCCTGAAAGTAGGCTTCTAGCTTAGCGCTCAGAATTATTTTGTAAGCAGGAAGCTTTGAGAAATCTAGCCTTATTTAAGGAAGAGTCATTTCTACAGCTGCCTTGAATTAAGCGCATACTTGGTTTGCAGCAGTTTGGATTGTTCTTCCTCCCACGAGTTAAATCGTTCCGTTCCACTGTGTACTGTCACAGATGAATGCGTGCAGTCCTTCAGAGAAGGGGTATTAAGGTATTTCAGGTAATACTGATACTGCAAATACAGTGATCTCATTTCTGCTAGATTGATAGCAGGGAACATCTTTCGGAGTTTTCCTTTATATTTCAAGCAGACACATCTTTTTTGCACATCGCTTCATTTAGGAAGGGGTTAAAGTGAAGTGAGTCAGAGCTCTTGTCATCATTTTCTGTTTCGGATCCTAACCTCATGCACACAGACAGCTACCCCTGCCTGCCCGTGCCTCGTAGACAGAAAGAATTGGAAGTATGGCTCAGGACGTGATTAGCAGCTTCTGGGAGCTGGCTGTCCAGTTCCCCTGGGAAGCAGCCTGGGGGAGGCAGGGAGACCTGTAGGGGGCTAGAGTCATACGTCCTCACCTAGGACCATTCCTTAGACAGAGGAAAGAGGTTCTTTCCTGACTTGATAGAACAGGGTTCTTCCCAATACCTCAGATGCTGGCAGTCCTCATAGCCTGTGAAGAGAGGCGGTGGTGATGGTGGTGGTTGTTATGTATTACCTAGTCCGTCCTGACCCTTTAGGTTTTCAGATGTAGTAAATTACCCAGGGGCGGGGGGAGGGGGAGACTGCCCATCTTTCTCCTGGTGGATTCGAGCTTGCGCCTTTGGGTTGGCAGCACAGCTCCTTACCACTAGGCCACCCGAGCTCCCTGCTGGTGATGGTGATAATTGACATGATCACTGTAATAGCAGCTAGCACTTAATACTAAATTTAGTGCTTATTACATTTAGTACGTGTCTGTTATTTCTTTTTTCCCCCCCATATTTTTTATAATGAAAATTTACAGAGACTTTGGCTTTCCATTCATTCATTGTTGCACTTTTCTCCGCTCCCAATCCTCCCCGCTAGTACACTACCCTCTTGGAAAAGTGAAAGAAAAATTCTTTCATTGTTTTACAATCCCCCCCCCCCCCCCGCAGGTCCACTCCACTATGCAGCCTTCACTCTGGACTCCTGTCATAACAAAAATACCTAATCACATAGCCCTTTTAAACCGTTTTCTCCTTCATCTGTTTAAATGCAGTATACATTATTGTACCCATCTTTCTCAGTCTTCCCCCAACCCTAAGGTCAGTCCTGTTTTACAACAGTGGCACCATGCAGTATTTGTCCTTTTGTGACTGAGATACTTCACTCAGCATAATGTCCTCCAGGGTCACCCACTTTGAATAAGATTGCATGAGTTCCTTGTTTTTCAATGCAGCATGCTATTCCACTGTGTGACTATACCACAGCTTCTCTATCTATTCGTTTGTTGATGGGCACTTAGGTTGTTTCCAACTCCTTGCTATTGTGAGCAAAGCCGTGATAAACATGAATGTTCAGTGTCTGTTATTTTTCTCTGTGTGTGTGTGTGTGTGTCTATCTGTTATTTCTAATCCTCTAGCTAACGTACCTAGGGAGCTCTGGTGGCCTGGTGCTACGGAGCTCTGCTCCCAACCCTGAGGCTCACAGTTCAGATCCACCAGCTGCTTCCCAGGAGAAAGATGGACAGTCTCCTCCCATGCAGTTTACTCCCTCTGAAAACCTGCTAGAGGCTGATGATGGTCAGTTCCGACTCGATGTTGACAACAAGAAGCATACTTAAAAATTCTAAAATGTGCTAGAGGATTACATATTTGAGCTTAGCATGAGTTCATGCATTTAGTTCTTCTACAACGCTCAGTTTTTACATAAGGAACCTGAGAACCTCGGGTTTAACCCAGGTCAAGGCCCCAAAGGCAGTGGGGAGTCCATCTCTTCACCATTATGCAGAATGATGACCTGTGACAAGGCATTCAGTGCAAGCCTTACAAAGAGGTAGGAGATGCAGGTACTCCTGGCCACCGCAGGTAGTCATGTTTGGGGAAATGGAGGCAGATACACAGAGCAAACACACGCTCAGCTCCTCTGCTCCCAGCCTTCCTTCATGGCCTCAACTCAGGACCCCTGCTTCCTGAGCTCAACTGGCCTCTGATTCATTGCCTGGTTTGGGCCGTTTCCATACCACAGCTGATCTCTCTCTTCTGTCTGAAGTTCTTCTATTTTATTCCAAAGAAATGCCTAGGGTGTCACAGGCAAGTGCTTGGCTGGCAACCTTAAGAATACTTGTGAGTTTGAGCCCCCCACCCCCACCCCCAGCAGCTCCATGGGAGAAAGACCTGGCACTCTGCTCCTGTAAAGAGCTCAGAGGAGAAAACCGTCTGGGGCATATAACCCAGTCCACACAGGGACTGTGCATTAGAATCCACCCTGTGGCATCTGGCAGCAATGATGGTACATTCCAGAAAAAAGACAACTTCTATCCCCTTTAACTTGCGGGCTCAGGGTCCAACTGCATCATGATCACCGAGAAACTTAATTAAAATACATGATCATAGGCCCAAGCTCAGAACTACCAATACAGCTCCCTGCACACGGGCCCGGGGGAACTACTTGAACAGAGCCACCCAGGGTTTATTCCAGGTGAAGGAGTCACGGCAAAAACCTGGTGACGTTCAGGATTCAGCCCTTGACATCTGGTTCCCAATGGGAAGGACCTCCTTCCTTGAGCGCAGTGAGGACCTCCACTTTGTCTGGTTTGTCCTCCTTTCACCCCATAAAAAGCAAAACCATCAGGTCTGTGGTTGACCCTGTGCTTGTCAGGGGAGAGCTGTGCTCTGTAGTTCTCAGTGAGTGGTTTTTCGGGAGGAGAACTCCAGACCTTGAATCTGAGGGATCTCTGAGCACACTTGAACCTCCAGCCTGTCCATCAGCAGCGTTGCCCATCGGCTGTACCCAGGGATCTTTCTTTATCCAGAGGTCTTACTAAAGCAAACAGGTTGCTCTTAAAGCAGACTTGTGTGTAAGACTGTGTGTGTGTGTGCTGATTTCCAATGGTGTCGGGTAAAACCACATAACAGACATACAATCCACCCCCCACGCCAAACCCCGACCCTTTCCATTACCATTGGCTGTTTGTCTGGCTTTCTCTGAACGGTCCTGAACATTCTGGCCACTGTGAGGGAAGGGCAGCCCACGGGGGCAGGCAGAGTCTAAAGCCATATGCCAGTAAGGTGGCCACCAGGCACTGTCTTGATCGTGATCACCTAAAGCTGATGGATATGGAGTAAATGCAGTGAGGAACTCAAAGTTTCTGACAGATTAGTAAGTGTTAGAAGCAGTCTGCCACATTTTTCTCCCTTGGAACAGCTAGTGAGTTTGAACCAACAACCTTTGCGTTAGCAGCCAAGTTCTTTATCCACTGTGCCACCAGGCTGCTGTTTAAATTATAGGAGTCAGGGTGCCCACTGCCTTGGGAATTAATGACCCAGAGGTGACGTTACCAGCAAAGATGACGGACGGACGGAGCGTGCAGGCCCAGCCCGAGGGCCTCCGTGGGATGGAAGGGTGCAAAGCCTTTATTAGGCCGGCGTCTTCACACTCCCTCAGCCTTTCGTGGAACAAGCAGAAAGAGCAGACCCAGCTTTATGCCTCCCTAACGAGCTTAATTAACTGTGGTTTCAGGCTTCCGAACCATCTCGAGGCCAGGGCCAAGAGAAAGCAGCTCAGATAGCTTGTTATCGTTGGCATTCTTCTCCAGTATACTCGTGCCGGGAGCCGCTATTTGTGAGAGTGTTGGACTCACTCTGTGAGGCCGCCGGGGAGCAGGAGACACCCTTGTTCGCAGGCTGTCCTCTGAGCTCCCGCAGGACTGTCTGCAGCGCTGACCCACAGCCCTACCGGCCAGTCCAGCCTCCCCAACTCACCAAGAAGCAGCTTCTAATAAGCTCTCCGCACTCGAGTTCTGTCTGTAATAGGTTCCAGAACAGTAATCCAGGGGTTTCTATTTAATCCTTACGGTGTTTTCCATACTACCTATTTTATAAGGGTTTGAGTTTAGCAATGGGGATATGTGGTAAAATATATTTGCTCAATTGTTTCTTTTCCCCCCCTAACCCATCCATGAAAAGAAAACGTTCATGCTTATTGATACCTCCCCATGCCAGAGGTGTTGATGTGTGGTCTCTAAGTGATCTGTGGGCACAGGGAGGTGATGGGTTTGATCCCCATTGTTGCTGTGTGCCATCTGGTCAGTTCCAGTTTGCAGCACAACTACACCATAGGTTTGCAAGGCTGTGTGTGTGGCCTTTACAGGGCGGACTGCCAGCTCTGATCTCCATAGGAGCCGCTGGTCAGCTTGAACCCTGACCTTTCTAGACAATAGCGGAGTTCTCTGTCTGATTATCTACTTGTGAGTCACCCCAAGTCAGTTCGAGCTTGGTGGGTCAGAGTAGGGCTACTCCGTAGATTTCCAAGGCAGACCAAGCAGCTCAAGTCAGCCCTCCAGTGTACCTTTGGCTTCGAACTGCCAGCTAGTCGTTGATGACTTAACCCTTTACACCACCCAAGAGTTCTTTATATTTGTATTTCTGCATATACATAAAAGAGCCCCAGAAGCGTGGTGGTTAAAGCATTGGGTTACTAACTCTTCGAATGCAGCAGAGAAAACTGTGATCATTTACTTCCGTGAATGTTAACAGCCTTGGAAACCTTATTGTGCAGCCCTGCTTTGTCTACAGGGTTGCTGTGAGCCCAGATGAACACGACTGAAGTGAACTAGGTATTGGGGGTCAGGGGGGCTCTACACAGCCCCACAGAAGCACTGGTAGTGCAAACCAGGGGAGTTGCACAGCCAACCTGAAGATGGCGTGGATCCAGCAACTGTTCCAGGGGAGAAGGCTGGGCCGTCCCCTGCTGCGCAATTCACAGCCTCCAGAACCTGCCCAAGGGTTTGCTGTGAGTCAGTCCTGACACAGACGCAATGAGTCACACAGACAGAGTCATCATCGTAACAAGCTCTAGTGGCAGAGTGTGTTTCAGGTTGCACCATTAACCGTTAGGTCGGGTTCAAAGCTACCAGCTCCTCTGAAGGGAAGAGACAGTCGTCTGCCCTGTGTCTCGACTTGAACCTTTCTACAAGCCATTATCTGAAGGAAGGGGTCTTGCTTTATGGACTTTATCAAGTCAGTCCCACAAAATGGTCTTATTAGATGAATGAACTTCCTGGGATTCAGTTCAAATGGTTATATCATGACAATGGAACCTTTTTTATTTTTCCCTCCCCCAGATCGGCCATGGATTTGGAATATCCCTTATGTCAAAGCACCAGATACACACGGGAACATGTGGGTCCCCTCCTGAGAAGCTTGAAGCCTGGAGGAGCTCACCTGTGGCAGTGAGCCCAGCACCGGTCCCCGCTTGTTTGTACCAGGTGGTCGTATCCATTCTTCCTGCACCCTTAAGAAACTCTTCACAAAGGTCCCTTTTAATGGTTGTTATTAACAGTCTCACACACACACATGCACACTAAGATGTGATATTTTCTTAACCCCCCTTTTGTAAACTGCAGACCGAATGCTATTAAACTTCCCAGTGTGAAAAATAGGAAGTAAAATCATGTTTTTAGAATAGAATCTGGTGATAGTGTGAGCATCTCGAACTTCAGCCTAGACCGTGGAGGTTACGCTTCTGTTCTCTTGAGGGGAAGGTGCACTCCATTCAGCCGAAACTTGGGAGAGAAAGTGTTTGCTTTTCCACTCACATCCTCTTACTTCCTGAGTCCAGCTTGTGGGGTGGGTGTCTGCATCAGATGTGCCACTTCTGCCCACCCAGAGCTGGGTGACGCCGCAGTCCCTAGCAGGGTGCCACCGGAGCCCCCTGGGCCAGACCGCTTTCCACCGCCTCCCCTGTTTGAAGGTGAGTGGATCCCTCTTCCATCCCTAGGATTTCCAAACAAGGCAGACTCTTAGCATCACACACAATCCTGGGGGGATTTTATGTGAAGGAAAGCCTAGAAGGTGACCTCTTTGGGGGCCCTCAATTCATCAGTGAGGACACTGAGGCCCAGAGTGAGTAAGTGGGGGTGTCCCTGGTCATAGGCGAGTAACCCTCTGCTGTGTGCACATGGCCTTCCCCCTCGGGAACCAGGTCTGTCTTGGATCATTTAAACCCTGTTCGATGCTGGTGGCCACTCTGTAGCCAGCCTCTCCGTCCTGTCATCCAGAGGAGAGCTGAATGTTAATCTGAAAGTTTTGTTTTCATTTGGGTACTTTTTTAGACTCTTCTTCCGAGGCCTAGGATTCTTAGGTTCCTCAGGAACCTTGAGAGGGTGATAAGGGTTTCTGGTAAAAGAAATGGATGAGGCTGGAGGACAGGCCCTGGGCCTTTCTCTCTATATGGGTGTGTGCGTGCACACAGCACCTCAATCAGGGAAATGGCTTTTCTACCTGATACAGGCCATGGTCTTTGCAATCACTTGTTATGCATCAGAGAGCTGGACAATGACCAAGGAGGATAAAAGGAGAATTGATACCTTTAAGCTGTGGTGCTGGAGAAGAGTATTGAGGGTACCATGGACTGCTAGGAAAACAAACAGATTCACCCTGGAAAGGATTAAACCAGGCGGCTCCTTCGAGGCAAGGATTCTGAGGCTCTGTCTAACATACTTTGGACATGTTGTAGGAAGGAATGGTCTTTGGAGAGGGACATCATGCTTGGGAGGGTGGAGGGACAGCGCAGGAGGGGAGGGCCCTCTATGAAGTGGATTGATTCAGTGACTGAGGTAATCGGTGTGTGTGTGTGTGTGTGTCAGAGACAGTAAGATTAGCACAGGACAGAGCAGGGTTTAGGCCTATTGTACATAGGGTCACTATGAGTCGCAAGCGACTCAACGACACATAACAACAACCTTGTATCTTGAGATTCTGGGTATAGTGGTGGGTCAGCAGCTAACAAGCAAAGAGGCCCGGAGAGAGGGCAGAGTGAGTCACCACCGAGGCTGGAATCCCACCTCTGCCCCTTACCGCCTGTGCTGCTTTAACATGTTGTTGTTAACATCTGTCTTTGGTCCCCCACCTGGAAGATGGTGTTGCTAACAGTACACATTTCAGAGGATTCTGTATGTGAGGGAGGTTAATCTGGTTTAGAGCTAGAATTGTACGAGCCATCCCTGTTCCCCTATATGATGATGGTCACTGTGTTTGTTATTTTACTCATAAAACACAAGCCAAAAAACCAATCCCATACCTTCAATTCATTCCAGTTCATGATGACCTTCTATCCCCCCAGCCTGTAAATGTTCACGGAAGGAGACTGCCCCCTTTTCCTGCAGTGGCGGGTGGATTCAATCTACCAACTGTATAGCAGCTCGCCTGAAAGAAGTCAGCGAAAGAGAGATAGAGTTTAAAGTTATATATTCAAGCGGAGCTCCCGGGCGAATCCTCTGTCCTGAAGGGGCAGAGCAGAGAATTGGCAACTTCAGAGGGTTGGGATGGGGTTTTTATAATGGGGTCTTCGGGAAGAAGGGAGTTGCATTCCATTTCTTAGTTTATAGCCCGTGGTAGGCTCCAGGTGGTTGGCAAGGTCGTTAGTCCACCTTATCAGCCTCACGTGAGGCCATCCAGCCTGGTGTTTGCATTCTTGTTCCCCCTCCTGGTCCCCCTGGCTGGGGCCTAACACCAACCTTTCCATTAGCACAGCATTGAGACCCAAAAAGTCAAAGTGCCTATCTTAGCTCATTCTAGAAAGCTCTGTTACCAGCATTTGAACGCAGCTCTGCGGCATCAGAGCCCATCTTTGTAATCACTTCCTTCCCTGCAAGGTGTCTGAGCTTCTAGATCAGCTCTATAGACCAGCGTCTCTGTCTGAGGAGTTGGACCAGTGTGTCCCTCAGTCCATCATGGGCAGAGACTTTCTTTTTATATTGATTTGCTTACAATGATTTGTTTACATTCATGTACTGTGTGTTGTGTACTATCTTCCATTTACATTGTTTTTCATACAATCATACATTATATTTTATATAATTAATGACTGTTAATCTAACACCTATTATTACCCTGTCATTTCAAGTCCCCATTGAATCTTTCCTATTCTTTCATCCTCTACTCAAATCCACCCACTAAACTCTGCCATCCTAGTGATTTCCATCATTCCCTTTTCCTTCCCTTTCCCGCTTCCCCTTTGGGAAATTTATATCCATCTAACTAGACTGTGGTCTTTACAATTACTTGCTGGATAATTAGAAAGCTGGATAATGACTAAGGGTGATAGATAAAGAACTGATGCGCTTGAGCTGTGGTGCTGGAGAAGAGTCTTAAACATACCATGGACTCCTAAGAGAACAAACTGGTCTGTCTTAAAGAGGGTAAAACCAAGTTTCTCCTTGGAGGCTAGGATTTGAAGCTCCGTCTTCGATACTTTGGGCATGAGGCCAGGAGGGAGCAATCCTTGGATAAAGACATCATGCTCGGAAGGATGGAAGACCTCAGATAAGATGGACTGACACAGTAACTAGGGCAATGGGGTAGGCATGTTGGAGTCATCAAGACTGGCTCAGGACAGGGCAGGCTTCAGAGCTATTGTACCTACGGTCACTGTGAGTCACAGGTGAGTTGAGAGCACATAACAACAATAACAAACTAGTTATCCTATTTTTACTGTAATGACCTTGTGCAGTATTTGTCCTTATAAGACTGGATTATTTCACTCAACACAATGCTCTCTAGACTCTCCTGTGTTATATAGTATTTTACAAAATTGTTGCTTCTTAGTGCTGCATAGTATCCCCTTATGTGAAAGTATCATAATTCCTCAATACATTCCTTTGTTGATGGACATATGGACTATTCCATTTTTTTTTGTGAATAATGCTTCTGTGAAGATAGGTGTACATATCTGTTTTGGGCTCAGTTTTCATTTCCTTGGGGTATTTTCTTAGCAGTGGACAAGTTAGGTCATATGGGATGTATATGTTCGGTTTTGAGTTTTGGTTTTGACTTGCATTTTTTTAAAAGAAATGCCAAACTGTCTTCCAAAATGACTGTATTATTCTACAGTCCCGCCAGCAGTGCTTGAGAGTTCTGATCTCTCCACAACATCTCCAATCTTTATTGCTTGCTGGTGGACAGAAATTTTTCTAGAATACAGAATCAAGTGCTTCTCTGTTCCCACACTTTGCAGTTGCAGTGGACACCTCTCTGTGCTGCCACTTCTTCCTCTCTCTAATCACCACCGCCGGCCCTGATCCACGGCTGCACTGGGAGGAGGGTTCCTCAGACCCATCAGGACCCAGGGAAGGGAGGAAGCAGCCTGCAGAATTCCACAGAATGCGATGGATAGACATCAAGGTCAAAGGACACTGGGCTTATTGTTCAAAATGGTCTTCCTAGACCATTGCCTTTGATTTTGCCACATGACTGGGTGAGGACATGCAAACAAGGTTCCTAGACTACCAGTGAGGGGATTGGCCAGTTTTGCCATCCCACCAGGTTTAAACTGAGCTGATTCAGCAGAAGGAAATGAGGCGCTCACTACCAGCAGCCAAGATGTGGGAGAGGGCAGTGCACATCCTTCAGGGCTAGAGATTCCTGTGCCACTCGGACCAGGCCCTGGACGAGAGCAGCAGCTGCAGCAGTGGAGACACAGAGACCAGCTGGAGAGAGAGAGAGAGAGAGAGAGCTGACCTGGAGCTGCCACACTGCAGATCCAGAGTCCCCGGCCTTCGCGCAGGCTTCCTGGAGGTGACCTAGGGGCAGGGAGATGCTGAGATTTGCCAGAGTAAGAGAGCTTTGTAACACCAACCTGCAGCCAGTAGGTTGAAGGACCTGCGTGCATCCTTGAGAAGCTACCCTGGTAGCTTCCAGGAGGAAGATGTGGCCGTGGGGGGCCCTAAAGATTACCACCTCGGGAATCACGGGGGCAGTTCTACTCTGCTCCTCAAAATCACATTTTCTTTACTTGCTGTTGAGTCAAAACCAACTCTCAGCAGATTAACAACTGCAGCTGCTTTTGAGGCTGTAAATCACACAGGAGGAGAGTGCCCCTCTTTCTCCCACTAAGCTGCTGGTGGATTCAAACCGCTAGAGAGGAAATATCTCAGTCACAAAAGGGCAAATACTGCATATTGCCACTGTTGTAGAATGGGACTGACATCAGGGTTGGGGTGAGACTGAGGAAAATTGGGTAAATTATGTATACTGCATTGAAACAGATGAGGGAGAGAACAGTTTAATAGTGATATATGATTGGGTATTAAGATTATGACAAGAGTCCAGAATGAAGGCTGCATAGTGGAGTGTACTGCAAGGAGCAGTGGGGAGGGAGGGGATTGTATACCAAGGAAAGAATTCTTTTACTTTTCA